GGAGTCTTCCAAGTCTTTACTAAGACTCTGTTTCCCAGCTGGAATGGGTGTAAGAGTTCATCAGATGGGTAGGTGGACCTGCAGTAAGCAAACTCAGGCAGAATTGTTGGTGTTTTCCCTAAATGTTGTACATATTGCTTAATTTTCTATTCATGCTTCACATCTGGGGGTGGGATGTGGGGGCATTCCCAAAACGGAGATTTGGAAGGGTCTCCCATAAACTAGTTCAAAACAGCTTAAGTCCACTTCTGGGTGCTACCTTAACCTGGAGCAAGGCAACAGGAAGTTCCTGGTCCCATTTCAAATATGTTTCCTGGCATATTTTTGCTAGGGTCTTCTTTACTGTGTGGGTCATTTTCTCAGTCTTTTCCATAGATTGAGATGTCTAAGATGCATGTGGTTTCTACCTTATTTGCAGTGTCTGTCCAGCATTCTGGGATATCTCTGTTGTGAATGATGGTCCACTGTCACTCTGAATGCTGTGAGGAAGTCCAAACCTGGAAATTATTTCTTTAATTAAAAGTTTCACTACCTCAGTCACCTTCTCAGTTTTAGTGGGGTATGCCTCTACCCATCCAGTGAAAGTCTCCACGAAAACTAATAAAAATCTGAAATTTCTTCTGGCTTTTGGCATTTGTGTAAAGTCTACTTGTCAGCCCTCTAATGGGCATAACTCTTTATATCGTACTCCCTTTTTCACTGGGGTGCATTCTGTCTTAGGATTGTTTTTGGCACATATCTGACAGGCTTGGGTAATCCTCTGAGCAGTCTTTTGCAAATGGGGGTCATTCATATGTGGCCTAATGAAGTCCATCAAAGCATCCCTTCCATAATGGTTCCCTTCATGTAGGTGTTTGAGGGTGGGATACACTAGAGGCTCAGAGAGTAAGATTCTTCCACGAGTGTTGATCTTCCATATGGAATTGGGCTCAGTGTTAGAGAATCACCATTCATGGGCCTGTTCCTCATCTCATTCTGTGTAATGAGGTTTAAATTTTGACAAGTCCAAGCAGGGGATCAAAATCCTTAAATGTAGTGGCCCTCCAGCTGCTTGTCTTGCTGCTTCATCAGCAGTTTGGTTTCCTTGGCTTGTTTGAGAACCATCCCTTCAGTGTCCTGGGCAGTGCATAACGGCAACCTGGTCTGGTAGATTCACTGCCACAGGCAATTGTAAAATCTCCTTTGCATGTTTAACATCCTTTCTTCCCAACGTTAAGAGTACTCTCTCCTTCCATATTGCTCCATGGGCATGGACTACCATGAAGGCATATTTACAGTTCATGCAGATGTTAACCTTCTCTCTCTGGGATAGTACTAAGGCTCTCCTGAGGGTGATCAATTCAGCCTTTTTGTGCAAGATTCCTGGTGCAAAGGCTTGGGCTTCTATTACCTTGTCTATGGTGACTACCACATATCTGGCTCATTGTTGGCCATTGTCCATTACATTGCTCCCGTCTGCACACAGCTCCCAGTCTGATGCTACCAGCAGCAGGTCCAGTACATCTAGCCTGTTAAAATAAGCTTAGTCAATGATTTCCAACCAGTCATGCTGGAGGGCTGAGTTTCCCTCTGTGCCTGGAATAGAGTGGGAAATTAATAACTGTGTCTGGGATAGAGCGGGAAATTAATGACTGTGAGTTTCCTGTCCTTTTACTGTTCATAATTTTAAACTTCTTTTTCTTAGGTAAGTCCCTTTAACACTTCATATAATAAGGGCTTGGTGATGATGAACTCCTCGAATTTGATCTTATCTGAGAAGCACTTTATCTGTCCTTCCATTCTAAATGAAAGCTTTGCTGAATAGAGCAATCTTGGTTGTAGATCCTTGGACTTCATGACTTGGAATACTTCTTTCCAGCCCCTTCTTGCCTATAAGGTCTCTTTTGAGAAATCCGCTGACAGTCTGATGGGAAGTCCTTTGTAGGTGACTGTTCCCTTATCTCTTGCTGCTTCTAGGATTCTCTCCTTCATTTTAATCTTGGCTAATGTAATGATGATGTGCCTTGTTGTGTTCCTTCTTGGGTTCAACTTATTTGGGACTCTCTGAGCTTCCTGGATTTCCTGGAAGTAAATTCCCTTTGCCAGATTGAGGAAGTTTTCATTTGTTATTTGTTCAGATAAGTTTTCCACTTGTTGCTGTTCCCCTTCTGGTACCCCTATAATTCAGCTGTTGGAATGTTTAAAGATGTCCTGGAGGTTCCTAAGCCTCTCCTCAGTTTTGGGAATTCTTGTTTCCTCATTCTTTTCTGTTTGGTTGTTTCTTCCTTCTGGTCCACTCTACTGATTTGAGTCCAAGTTTTCTTTCCATCACTATTGGCTCCCTATGCATTTTTCTTCATTTCATTTAGCGTAGCCTTCATTTGTTCATCTAATTTGTGACCAAAATCAACCAGTTCTCTGAGCATCCTGATCACCAGTGCTTTGAACTGTGCATCTCACAGTTGGCTATCTCTTGGTCACTTAGATGTATTGGCTTTGGGGCTTTAATTTGATCTTTCGTTTCAGCCATTTTTTTGAGGGGGGCTGGTCTGGTCACGCCTCTTATGTAGTGAAGGGTGGAGCCTTAGATGTTCACCAGGGTGGGGCAACCCATGTTGCTGGGTTGTGATGCTACATGTGGGGGTGGGGTCAGAGAGGGAACAATGGCACTTTCCTCCACTCTCTCTGAGATTTCAGTCCCTTCTGCTGCTTCCTACAAGCAAATTGCGCCCTTGTGGTGCTATTTGCCCGCCGGCGTGGGTGGGCTTGTGTATGTTCTAGGACCCTGTGGTTCTCTCCAACGAACTCTCCTGTGAGGCTGGGAGTCTATTCCTGCACCTCAACCCCCACAGGTATTTTCAATCTGTGCTTTTAGGCTTTATTTCCCGGTGCTGGGGCTCTGTGTTGTCTCACTGCCTGTTTTTGCCTGGTTTATCTGCACGTGAACGTGTGACCACAGTCCATAAGCTGCCTTGCATGCCTCACTGCGTCTGCTCGTTGCCACCCAACACTCAGGGTCTGCTGGTCACTGCTTTTCCCTGCCGTGACCCCTCTCCACTGGCCACCAACTCCACCCCTCTTACGGGTCTAGATGAAAGGTTGGACTTCCGTACATTTCAATTTTCTGTCAGTTCTGCTTGTTTTTTTTTTGTTTCTAAATTTTTGTTGTCCTTAATTTTGGTTGTGGGAAGAAGCACAGCGTGTCTACCTACACTTCCATCTTTGCCAGAAGTCACATAGTAGATTTCTTGATGCCCCCCTACCCCCACCACCAGAGGAGTGAGCAGGCTGCTGGTGGGTGGCTGCCACAGCTGTTTCCCACAGCTCTGCACACAGGGAAGGATGCAGGGCTTATTACCTGGCTGCACTGCATCCCAGGACCTGCCTCAAGGACCTGCCAGCCCAAATCTCCTCTCTCCTCCCTGAGGTCCTCTTCTTACTGGCCTTGATCCCAGCACCTGCAGTCCTCCTGGGCAGGCCCGAAGCACTCAGGGAGGATTGCCACAGCCTGACCCTCCCTGGCTGCACTGGGGCCATAGCTGACTGGCCCGCACTGCTGTGGGCCACGGGTGGACAGCAGCCACCACAGGGGCTTGCTGGCCTGAACCCACTGGCCTGAGCCTCAGCTCATCCTGCCCCACCCTTCTACGTGAAACCTGCTGTGCTCTGGGACAGGCAGGTCCCAGAGAGCTATGGCAGCGGATAACGGAAATTCCTAGCCATACTGGCTAGGTCACCAGCTCAGGAAACTCAGCCCCCAGCTTCAGACCCACCAGCCAGGGGAAGGGGGAGCGAGAAAGCATGATGTCTGCCTGTGCTCCACCTTTTAAAGACCCTTCCCATAATCCCCTACAGGGGGGGAAATATATGGGAGGGTATGTCCCTCCTATCCAGTCATCTTCCCGGTTTTTGGCACCAGCCTCATGCACCTCTTTTTTTCTGTCATGCGTGCATCTTCCTGGTTGCTGGAGCAATGCATGCGTGTGCCTTCTTTGGCAATTCCCATTTCTGGGGGGAGTTTCCCTGTTACAGTCTCACATGTGTCTTCTATGTGGAGCTGTCAGATCCATGCAGATGGATCTTATACTGATGTATAAGACTGTATTAGTTTTAATGTAGAACATAATGATTTAAGTCTTAACTCCTGTGTAAATTCTAAGGCCTTGTGGGAGTTTGTGAGAAATGCAGATTCTCCAGTCCCATCCTAGACCTACTGAGTCAGCAAATTCCTAGCCAACTCTTTGACTACATCATGATTCTCTTGCTAACCTTGAAGCTTCAGAAGTAAGGTTGGCAGATTTAGCAAATAAAAAAAATAGATGTCCAATAAAATGTGAAAACAATGGATAATATTTTTAGTATAAATACCTCTCAAACGCTTCATGGGGCATAATTATACTTAAAATACATATTCATTATTTATCTGAAATCCAAATTTTACTGGGCATTCTGTATTTAATTGAGAATAGGATCCACATCTAATTTAACTTTGTATTCCCCTGCAATAGCACAGTCCTTCCCCAACTGATCAATGTATGTTTGAAAACAGGTTTCTCTGTTTTTTTGCTTAACATTGTATATTCCCAGAGACTAACACATTTTCTGGAACACAATAAAGGGCCAAACATATTCTTTCATGAGAAAGTAAATATATCTAGAGCATTCTTCCAACTGCACACTAGGTTGTGTGTGTATTGTAATGAAACCTAAATTATTTTTGAACAATTTTTTGAAAAACACAATGTTTTAACATCTTCTATTCAGACAGTTTTTCACATTTTAGCTGGCAGAGTTCAGTGCTTAATGGGAACATAATCAAGGGCACAGAATGTACTTGTCGTTGACTGAGTCCATATGGTCAGTGGTGGGGAAAGACTCCCAGGCTCAGGATCATGACGAGCCTGCAGCAGGAGGCGGCCCGCAAATGCTCCCCTCCTGTCCCTTTATCCCCTACCCACGCACGCGCACTGCTGCGCTTCGCCCCGCGGGCGGGCGGGGCTCCAGGGGCGCGTGCGCGGTGCTGGCCCCTCCCTTGGCGGGGGCGCGAGGCTCGGAGGACCGCAGAGAGAAGGGGAAGTCAGGTGGCAGCTGCTGCCGCCGCGTTACCACCGTGGTTTGTCGTCAGAAGGAAAATGGCGGATCTGGAGGAGCAGTTGTCTGATGAGGAGAAGGTAAGAGCCGTAGGGGTGGCGAAGCCCCTCCGGCTGGGAGCCTGTAGAGCCCCGGTGTATCAGCCCACAGCCCGGCCGCCGAGCAAGGGCATTGGTCTGTGCCCTCGGTTGCCCTTCCTCCTCCCTTCTCTGCGCCCAAGTGCCTGCCCCTGTCAGTCACCCGAGGCCCCACGAGGAGGCAGGTCTCTGCCTGGCCTGTTCGCTCAGCTCCTTGTAGGGCGTGTGCTCTGAAAATAGGAAGCGGGAGTGGCGCGACAGGCATGGGCAGGGCGGGCGGCAGGGCCGCTGCGGACTTTGCCCTTCCGCCTGGGCCGCGGGCCCACGCCTGGTGGGCACTGCAGTGTAGACCGGGTCTGAGAGAGGCCCTGGGGCGCTGCGCTCTGAGTCGGTCTGGTCCGAGTGTGACCGGAGTGAGGGTTAAGGGAAAACCCGCTTAGCAGGCAGACCGTCACTTCTCCCTTCTAATTCCTTCTTCCAGAAGCAAAATGCTTTTGTTCCCCTGATACTTGGGGCTTTTCTTTTCCTCCCTCTTCTTTTTTCGTCTTTAGCTCTAAGGTTGTAGGTCCCGTTATTAGCGGGAGTTGCGCGCGCGCACACACACACACACACACACACAGACACACACACACAGACACACACACACAGACACACAACCCTGCCTAGTAGTAGTTTTCCCAGGTAGGAAACAGCCCTCGTCGGGGCTGATTTGGTGGCGCCCCATTGTCCTGACAGGAATTTTTCCGAAGAGGGGAGATTGTGCAACTCCTTTTACTGTTATCTTAAATGCTGTGACAACATTGGAACCAAATGAACTACTTAAGTTCTCAGGCAGTTAAAGTAAATCTGATCGTTTAACTAGTTCCCTCTTTTCGCCGTTTCTTTTGGCTACAGTGAGGCCCCATTCCCCCGTGTCTGGGGAACCCTACTAATTTTGAGCTATTTCCTGGAAATAAGATGGTTGCAGGTTTGAAAGTGTCTACTCTTAATTTAAGTCTTTTATTGATTGATTGATTGATTTGCAAAGCAGTACAGCCATGTAGGAATTAGGAAACAAACTCATTATGACGTTTTAAGAAGGCCTAGGGTAAGCCTAAGGATACTTTCTGTTGCAACTCTCCACTCCAAGTGTTTATTTATTTATTTTTTATCCTCACCCGAGGGTATGCTTATTGATTTTTAGGGAGAAAAAGAGAGAAACACTAACAAGAGAGAAACATCCATCGGTTGCCTCTCCAGCTCCCTGAGCAGGGATCCACCACAACCTATTGGTGAAGGGAAAAAGCTCCAACCAACAGAGCCACCGGCCAGGGCTGGGCCAAGTGTGTTTTATATCCTCTGTTCTTGCCCCAAAATGTAATATTTCATTTACTTGCTCATGTCAGTGTGCAGATCATAATCATCTTCCGTTTTGAAAATCTTTTTTCTCTGTGCTTTTTGCTGAAAGTGATAATCAACAAAATAGGGACAGCAACAAGATTCCCTATAACCCAGAACCTGGTGAGCAGATAGATCCCTTTATACAGAAAGTTGCTTTGCAGTTTTCACATGTGTAATATTGGTAAATAACTATAAGCTGGTAACTGAAAATGTATGCTGGTGTACACACGTTTACAATTAAGTAGTGCTGAAAAATTTCTTAAATAGTGATTACTAAGTAGCACATTTGGGTAGAAATCTAGCTGAGGAGAGTACTCAGTGGGAGAGTTAATATAGACCTGTCAAGTGTTGTAAAGGCTTAAGGTAGCAAAGTTTTTTCAAAATTAGATAGCAAGATTGCTTATAATGGAGCACTCAGCGAATTTGCATAAAGGAGGTGGGGTATGTCTTTAAGGTTGCTGAACACAGTGTTTTAAGAGTAAAGGAATGAAAACTCTAATTTGAAGGACTTTGGTGTTTTTGTTTTTATGTCATTATTTTAACATGTAGATTTCATTACTATATTTAGTAATTTGTTGAAAATACTAACCAAACTGTTGAATTAAATTCAAGTAACTAATGCCATAGAATTCTAACACTCTTGTCACTTCAGTTGTCTAAATATTCTTTTAATCTTTTGGGAAGAAGATGTTTAGTATGGAGTTGTACATAAAATTTAAAGGTGACATTTTAAAGTTAATATTTATATCATGTCACTGCCACCATGTCTGTAATTTTCAAGAATATGTTTTTAATATTTTTAAACTCTTGGAACTTTCATTATTGATTGCAGATCTAAGCAAGGGAAGCTGTTAAGACTTACATGGTACCATACTTTTTTCTTTAAGCTTTTACAGTTTTTAGTTAACCCCGGTATGATTTAATAATATCTGATTTTATAGACATCATCCTATGGTGAGCATGTTTACTAAGTGAAAATTTTGACATGCCAGTCATTTTCTGCAGACTAAGCAATAACTACTCCACAGAACTACAGGTAATGACATATACTTACTTGCTCAGAGTTTTCATACAAACCATGTCGTTTATCAAACTATATCTCTTAATATTTAATACAGTAGAGTTAGTGTTATAGCATAATATATTCAAGAAAAAAGAGCAAAGAGTAAAATGAACATGACAAATTATTAAAGGAAAGTGAAGTAAAGATAAAAAGGGGAAAGTAAAGTGTCACCGGACATTTGTTTAGAAGAAAACAGGTCAACTATGGATTTCACAAATCTAAAGGTTGTAAATTCATTACATACACATCCTTTTGAATGTGAAAGCCAAGTTGAGATTAAAAGGTCTATAAACTTTAGGCCTTAAATACTACCAATTCTTCTGATCAAAGGAGGCCACAACAGTTAAGATTGTATTGCTTGATTTTATTTTACACTGGGTAGTGGGCACAAAGCAGTTGTCCTTAATAAAGTTTACAGTGAGCTTTATTGAGAACATTTTTTAATAATGAACATTTTTTAAAAGGTGTTGTTATAAATTGTTCTGCAATCCAAATCATACACAGTAGCTTGGGAAACAACATTTAGAAAACAAGCCAGTGTGAAAAGACAGATTAAAACAACTAGAACAGTACAGATACAAGTTTTATATGGCTCTGATTTTACTTTTTTATTTTTTTACTGCATCATCAATGTCAGAAATCTGTTTCTTAGCTGGCTTCATTGCTTAAGATTTAAAGAAGTACCTTTTCTTCCTGGTCCGGATCCATCCAATATTCTCTAGTATCAAAATAGGACTTTCCCTTTAATGCCCCAAACACTGACATACCTCATGTTCCCGTCTGAAACATTTTAGCATCTCAGCTGCTACTCTGCTTGAAGATGACAGAGCTTTTGAAGTTTCCACAGTGTTTTGCTTCTTCACAGTTTTTTGCTGAAGTAACTTGCTTTTTCCTCTTTAACTTTTTGTCAACCTCACTGTCAGAATCAGTGTCAGAAGAGCCTGAAGAAACAGGTTCCTTTGATGTAGGCATTGCTTGGCTCCTGCTTCTTAACAGCCCTTGCTCTCTCACAACTGTAGTACCATACTTTGTATGCACCTGGCTCAGTTAGACCATACATTCATTAATTTATTGTAAGTTGGAGGTATGTTTTATTATTACCATTTCACAGATAACTACAATAAGGTTGCAAAAGCGTTAAGTAATTCATCCAAGGAAGCCTAAGAAGGAAGTGGCGAAGGTGATATTTAATCCAGAGTTTGTCTGGCTCCGAAGTTGATGCTCTTATGACCTTAAGCATTTGGTGATAAGACCCTCATCTGGGTTTGTATCTCTTTGTTTTTGAATTATTGACAGCTTATTTTGAAAAGGACAACCAGTAGTTATTTTTGTTTTTAGTAAAAATTGTAAATACAAAACATTAAATAGTGTTGGGTTCTAAATTTAATTTGTGTTTTGATCATTTTAGAACAAAGTATAACGCATTTAACAGTTACATTCTATTGGTATAGTTTCACGTGTGCTCTATGGTAGGAAGCATTTTAGAAATTAATCTAGAATTAAGTCTTTGCTTTTTTAAGTCATTTGAAATTGTTCTTCAGCTACACAGTATTAATAAGAAATAAATTGTCAATGATGTTCTTATTATGTTTTCTTTAAAAATCCACATCCAAGGACATTTTCATTGTTTTTTGAGAGAGGGAAAGAGAGAGAGGGCAGGCATGGGACAATGCTCTAACCACCTGAGCTACACTGGCCAGAGCAGCACAGTGATTTTCTTTAAAGTTGTTCATTTGCCTAGTAGTGTGTTCCACAGACTCTTTTGCATAAAGAAACTCTAAGCCAAAAACAGTTTTGTTGTACTGTACAGTAAAGCATTTTTGTGAATTTGAAAATATATGAAATTGTGGCTCAAATGAAAAGAACCATTCCCAAACCCTTCTCCAGGTGAGAAAATCTAAGAAGTCACTCCAAGCTCCAGAGGGAAAACAGTATTGCTTGAAAGGGATCTTTTTTCTTTCTGTAAACTCTCACCTTCCCCCAGTGATCAGAGTGATCTACTCCCATAGCTTCAACTTTTATATCTTTGTTGATGTATCTCAAGGGCATAACTCAGCCCTAATTTCTCTCCTGAGCAGTGGTCACACATTTTTTATCTACTAGTCCTGTTCTCAGGAGATGGTTGATGAGATGTGTTTAAATGGAAACTGTGTAAAGGTAAATTCGTAAACTCTCTCTCCTTTCTCTCTACACAGAGGGGAGCAGAACTCTATCTTCTGCTAATTTTTTTTAAATTAGGAGTGTTGGTAGGCTGAGGAATGGTTTATAGGAGAGAAAGAAGTAGAAAATGTAAGATAAATAATAGCTTATATAAGTTGTTCAGTTAATGGTAGTGCCTTTGGATTTGTGGGTTTCTTACAGTATTTAAAAAATGATAGACATATTTTAAAAAATTAATGTTGACTTCAGAAGATTACCTAATGTAAAATGGGCTCTGTTTTTAATTACCATGCAAAATGATAAGTATAAAGAAAAGATTATTAAGGAAAACTTACTAAAACAGATTATTACTTTAAGTATACTCAAAATAAATTTGACTATAACACAGACATGCAGTAGT